TTAAGCTTTGGACCTCAACACAATTTGAGAAAAAAAAAAAAGCATTTTCTTTCCTAAATAACTCTGTATTCACCTTCACCCTAGTGATCTTTAGAAGTGATTTGAAGCGCACAGGCTGAATAGAACACTTTTCTCCATTGTCCAAGGCAAAGAGGAATGATGGATCAAGCAGCTTGCTTCAGAATTTGAAAACAAACATAAGAAAATGTTTAGATACAAGTTTATTATGCTGAGGTAAATTCATCAGAGGCAGAGGCTTACCTGGCAGCCCAGCTCTTGTAATACGTGAAGATAGTCTCACAGAGTTTTGAAACAAATATATCCAAACAATGGTCCACCTAAAAGTAAAAGGAAATACAAGAATTTGAGTTGATTCACATACATATCAAGTGACATAGAAACTCCTATTTCATTTATAGGCATAAATGTCTCAGTGCCTCCAATATTTAATGCCAAAGAGAACTGCTTGCAGAAAAAGAAAATTAGTACCAAACACATACTTCCTTTATGAACTTTTATGAGGTTTAAATTTGATGGACGGTAGTTGAATTGGTGAACAAAATTTAGCCCTTTGTAACTAATAAAAAGAAAGCGAGAAGAAAAAGGCTTAACAGAAAGACAGCACGATATCTGTTTTCCAACATCATGATATATGTTCAACTGAAAAAGACACTAAACAGATTTGTTTTTTCTTTTTCTGATGAATCAACACTAGACAATTAACAAGGTGCATAATTTAAAATGCTTCAAAAATTGACCAGTATGGGAAATTCGGCAAATAACCACCAGCTTCCTCAAATAAGGAATGAAAAATTAATGTACAGCGGAAGTATTTTGAAGAAAGAAGGCTGAAAGGTCATGTTTACCTCAGCCTCAATTTCATCATAGAGGAACCGCTGCTTCAGCACAACCAGTGCATGCTGTGCGGAATCATTGTAGATGTCAAATGACATCAGTACACTTTCAAGAAGGCCTGCATTTTGGGACTCGAGCACATGATCCACCAGCATCCAGGGAAGAGAGCATTCAATGGGAAACTGTTCATGGATATAAAGAAGAAGCCATTAAAAAGGCAAGGCACATGAGAATGCCACATGAAAGAAGAAACTAATTAACAAGAGAAATGAATAATCTGCCTATACAATTTTTGTGTTAGGTTTGGACCCAAGTCAAGAATTTTAATGGGCTAACAAATTATCTAGAAGAATGAGTCCAAGGTTTGCAACTAAGGATGTGAATTGATCAGAAAGGCAGACAAGGAGGGGGCAGAATCACACTGGTTACCAAAGAACAAAGAAACAGTGTAGAGAATCACAATCTGCACCAAAGCACTCAAAAACTGCTAGTCATATTCTCCACTTTGGCCCGTTGACATGGAGTGGTTTATAAACGTATACCCATCCAACCCTAGTGAAGCCTTTTAAAACAGTGAGGCCCATTATGGCAGGCCAAAGCACAATATCACTAGTGGTTTCAAGCACTTTGACCCAGGTTGTTATAAGAATAGCACAAAATGCTCTTGAGCATCCTTAATGAGCCACAATGCACAGAATTTCATTAGCCCCAGCCACATATTAAGAATAAAAAAATGCCTAAGAATAGCACAAAATTGTCTTCAGCATCCTTAATGAGCCAAAATGCACAGAATTTCATTAACCCCAGCCACCTATTAAGAATAACAAAATGCCTAAAATTTAACCAAATCTGAAATAGAGCATGAAATTGCCCATAACTAATAATCACTCAGAACTGCTTAAATTGGAATTACAAAACAGAAAATAAAGATTTGGGATCTTCAATGGCTTTAAGTTAGAAAAAAATTAAGCTTCAAGACTTCAACTGTGCTAGTAAGGATACAAAAAATCTAGAGACCTTAAAAGTCTACTGAACATTTAAGGAAGCATAAAGGGTGCCATAATGAATCTCATCCATAATAATAGAGTAAGGATGAGAGTTGGAAATTCAATAATATCAAAATTTTGATGTTTTCTTTGATTGAATGTCCACCAATATTCAGGGAAGAATGTTAATTTTTTTAGGATAGAGGGTGGGATATTGGGTTTTCTGCCTATAAGAATATAGGAGCCAAAAAAACTTAGCATATCAGAACTTGCAAATGGAACTAACATTATCAGTATCTTATATACATTCAAAGAGTAAAAGCAACAAATTTGATACCAAACTCCAATATGCTGATGGCGAAAATTTAAAAAATAAAAATAAAAATAAATCTAAGATGCCAAAACTCTCTAGCACAAGTTAGCAAACCTAACTCCTTTCTCTACTTAGACCCTTCCCCAAGTAAAAACTAAAACCATATCTAAACAAGGATGACCCTTTTACATATTTATGTAGTACTTTTTTTCCTTTTTTTTTTTTTTTTTTTTTTTTTTTTTTTTTTTTTTTTGTTTCTCCCTTCTCTCTTCTTGGATTTGACTTCATCATCTCAGTCAATTCCAAGTAATTTTTGGAACTCCAGGGT